ACTTTTTTTTTTTTTTTTTTTTGAGACAGGGTCTCAAGTCTGTCACCCAGGCTAGAGTCACAGTAGTGTGATCATGGCCTCATGCAGGCCTCTGCCCTCCCCAGGGCTCAAGTGATCCTCCCACCTCAGCTTCCTGAGGTAGCTGGGACTATAGGCGCAGGCCGCATGCCTGGCTAATTTTTTTGTATTTTGTAGAGATGGGTTCTCACAGTTTTGTTCAGGCTGGTCTTGAACTCCGGGGCTCAAGCCATTCCCCTACTTTGGCCTCCCAAAGTGCTGGGATTACAGGCAAGAACCAGTGTGCCTGGCCTAAAAGATGTCCTTAAAAAATATCTTCTGGAGGCCAGGTGTAGGTGACTCACGCCTGTAATCTCAGCACTTTATGGACGCCAAGGCAGGCATTTCATTTGGAGTCAGGAGTTTGGGAGCCAGCCTGGCCAACATGGTGAAAAACCCTTTGTTCTCTACAAAAAAATACAAAATCAGATATATATATATACACACACACACACACACACTCCTTGGCTGGGCGTGGTGGCTCACGCCTGTAATTCCAGCACTTTGGGAAGCCAAGGCAGACGGATCACCTGAGGTCGGGAGTTTGAGACCAGCCTGAGCAACATGGAGAAACCGTCTCTACTAAAAATACAAAATTAGCCGAGTGTGGTGGCACACGCCTGTAATCCCAGCTCCTCGGGAGCCTGAGGCAGGAGAATTGCTTGAACCCGGGAGGTGGAGGTTGCGGTGAGCCAAGATGGCACCATTAGACTCCAGCCTGGGCAACGAGAGCGAGACTCCGTTTCAAAAAAAAAATTCACACATATTATCATTTATTAATGCTTTTTGTATTTTCAAAAATTCTTGCCTAAGCATAATACGTAGCAAAATTTAAAGGATCATAATGGCAAATGGTATAAATTACCTTGTGTTTGTGGCTTAAATTTTATTTTCATTTGATCTTTTTTAAACCAGCAAATAAAATACAACATTCTTAGTGATATGTTGGGAATGCAGGGAAAAGAAATGAAGGTAAAAGTAACATAATTATTGTGCAAGAAAAAGTTACTTCCAAATGTAAGAGCACAGGGAAACAATTGGTTTTCTTGATTTTAAGCTAATAACATTGTGCATTTTATTGTTTGGACCTCTAATCCCTCTTGACAGATCCGTGCCTAATGTGCATGTCATAGAGCAGGCTTCATCAAATTCAGATATTTAGACACTTCGTCTACTTCAGACTGGATTGTGATGGGATTTGCAAACAGCTTAACATGCAAGGTACCGTAACTGCCTTTTCCTGCCTGCATCATTTTCTTCTTAGTGACCTTCTAGGGTGGGCTGGGGAGTAAGGCCAGCTTGGGAACGGGAAGTCTCATCAGCACAGGCTGATCCCCACTTGTGCAGGTTTCCTCCTTTGCTCGGTGTATTGCTTGTGTGGACGGACACTGCTTAGGGACGTTATGTTTTTGGGTACATATAGTAGAGGAATGTAATGGTTTGGTTAGAAGTAAAGTGTTTTGGGAAACTGTATCTAATTTTCTTTGCTTTTAGGTGAACATTTCTCAATGGAAAGTGACCCTTATATGTACCAGGCAGGTAAATCAGTAACTCCTCGTGTGGTTGGTTGTGTCTGGATTTTTAATGGCAAACAGGTTAGACACACAGTGCTGGTCTGATATTAATAGTTTACTGTCAGTTCAATCATAACTGGTTCGAAATAGGCATAGGCTTGCTTTTTTTTTTTTTTTTTGGACTCTATCGAATGGTAACATGAAGTGCCAGTGTAACTTGATTTTGATAGTAAGAACAACTTTGGTTTCTGGAAATTAACAAAACATATATAAATAATATATATTGTTTAAAAAGCTTACCTTACATTATTTTAGGTGAGTTGCAATTTTAGATATCAGGTTTAGATTTTGTATTATGGGCCAGGCGCAGTGGCTCATGCCTGTAATGCCAGCACTTTGGGAGGGCCGAGGTGGGCGGATCACTTGAGGTCAGAAGTTCGAGACCAGCCTGGGCAACAAGGTGAAACCCTGTCTCTACAAATAATACAAAAATTAGCCGGGTGTGGTGGCACGCACCTGTAACCCCAGCTGCTCAGGAGGCTGAGTCGGGAGAATCCCATGAACCTGGGAGGCAGGGGTTGCAGTGAGCCAAGGCCACGCCACTGTATTCCAGCCTGGGCCACAGAGCGAGACTCCATCTCAAAAGAAAGAAAAAGATTTTGTGTTATGTTTAAAGATTAGGTTCTTGGAAGTATGAGATTGTATTTTGATAATTAAAGTAAGCATATACAGTCTCATGAGGAAGATACGGCAGATAAAAAGAGTGGTAAGTAGTAGTTGAAGAAAACTTGCCTGGATTTACCTGATTACCCTGACATTGCTGATTTTAGAAACTAATTTCCTTATGAGTAGAATCTTTCACAGATTACCAGAGGCTGGGTCAGATGTGATATATCCTAGAATTTATCCACACCCCTAGACACACACCCCACCAAGGTTTGTCAGCCACTTATGGGATATATTAACTGTAATTGCTAGTAATCATTATTCCTAATATTACCACTAAATTCAAGTTTAGCAATGCAAATGAAAAGAAAAAGTTTGATTTTAATTGTAGTTACTGAAAATAGTTGGGGTAGACAAAAGCTAATTTTGTGCAAATAGGTGTTTTATACTTTATCAATTATTTATTTCTCACATAATCTGTCCTACATCCTGAGGATCTGTCCTTCATTCATTTAACAAATATTACTTAATGAGTATGTAGTGTGTGCCAGACTGTGCTGGAGACTACATGGAGTGATAAATAAGATGTAAGTAGGCCCTGCCCTCAAATAATTAAATTTTTTTGAGACAGAATCTCACTCTGTCGCCCAGAGTGCAGTGGTGCAATCTTGGCTCACTGCCACCTCTACCTCCTGGGTTCAAGCGATTTTTGTGCTTCAGCCTCCCAAGTAGCTGGGACTACAGGTGCGTGCCTCCACACCTGGCTGATTTTTGTATTTTCAGTGGAGACGGGGTTTCACCATGTTGGCCAGGCTGATTTCAAACTCCTGACCTCAAGGGATCCACCCACCTTGGTCTCCCAAAGTGCTAGGATTACAGGTGTGAGCCACCAAGCCTGGCCAAAGAATTTAGTCTTGAGATGGAGGCAGAGGAGAACTACAGAACACTGTGGGAGTATGCCTGACCCTTGAACAACGTAGGGGTTGGGGTGCTGACCCTCGCGCAGTCAAAAATCCAAGTATAACTTTTGACCCCCCAAAAACTTTACTAAAATAGCCTACTGTTGACCGGAAGCCTTACTGGTAATATAGTCAATTAACACGTTATTTTGTATGTTATATGTATTATGTAGTGTATTCCTATAGTAACGTAAGCCAGAGAAGAAAATATTATTAAAATCATAGGAAGAGAAAAGATACTTACTATTCATTAAGAGGAAGTGGATCATTATAAAGGTGCTCATTGTCTTCACACTGAGTAGGCTGAGGAGGAAGAGGAGGGGTTGTCTTGCTGTCTCAGAAGGGGCAAAGGTGGAAGAGGTAGAGAAGGTGGAAGGGGAGGCAGGAGAGGCAGGCACACTCAGTGTAATTTATATTGAAAAAAAAATCTGGGTATAAGTGGATCCATGCAGTTCAAACCTGTGTTGTTCAAGGGTCAACTGTATATAACAGGGTAGGGCTGGAGAGTCTGTCCTTGGGGGAAGAGGTGGGAAGGTCACTCTGAGGAAGTAACATTTAAGTGAGACCTGAAGAATGAGAAGGACCTGGTCTAGTTGGGGAAATAAGTTTTTCAGACAGAAGGTGCAAATGTGATGAGGCAAGGTGAGAGAGCTGGGGTTTTTGCACAACAGAACCTTTTAAAGAACTGAAAGAGGGCCGGGCATGGTGACTCATGCCTGTAATCCCAGTACTTTGGGAGGCTGAGGCAGGCAGATCACTTGAGCCCAGGAGTTCGAGACCAGCCTGGGCAAAATGGCAAAACCCCATTTCTACAAAAATGCAAAATTAGCTGAGTGTGGTGGTATGTTCCTGTAGTCCTAGCTACTCCCAGAGAGTAAGCTGGGAGGATTGCTTGAGCCCAGGAGTTTGAGGCTGCAGTGAGCCGTGATTATGCCACTGCACTCCAGCCTGGGCGACAGTGAGACTCTGACTCAAAAAAAAAAAAAAACTGAAAGAAATCTACAATGACCAGAAAATAAAGAAACAGGCATTGAAGCAGAAGTTGGCAACAGGGGCCAGGTCTTGAAAAGGCTTAGTAGGCCATTTGCTGGGTTTTTGAACTTCCCCTAGGTCTCCTGGGAAACGGTTAAAGATTTTAAGCAGGGGTGTGACATGAAATGAAATGCTACAAAACCCAATAATTTTAGTTCAATGGAACCTTGGTAATTTACCAGAAAGGTCATAATCTCTGCAAGGTAAGATATTCTTCTCTTGTTTCATTAAAATTTTTGTAACTCCTTTCTTGATTGATTGTCGTCTGCAGTATTATTTTCATTGTTTTTGTAGAAATTCCCTTTAATTTTCTAAAAGTACCTTTTACCCCTCACTGTTCTGTTAACCTTATATAGGAATGTCATTTCTATTTATAACTGAATTAGAATATTTTTTCTAACAGCTTTAGCTCTCTTCCATATTTAAACTTAAAATTCTTGGCTGTTTTTTTCCCTCCAGACACCTTTAATCTGCTCAAAGTATTTAATGTTTTAATGAAATGTTTCATTAAATTTGCTTTATTCTTTTGTTCTTCCAAATACAGTGTCTTAGATATAGTTTAATATTTCTCAGCATTTATGCTATTTCATATTTTATGAAATAACATGTAAGCACCTAGAATGGTTTTAGGAAATTTTGTCACTATTGTATAGGAGCACTAATCTTCATCAAGAGCACCATTTTCAAATCTGGTTCACATTCTGTGGCCTTATCTTTTACATTAAATTGGTCTCTGTTAAACATTTTATGTTCAGGTGGGCTTATTTATATATAAGTGCTATAAAGGTGTTATTTTTTTATATCCTGATTTGTTTCTTTCTCCCATAGTAAATGTCCCTACATACTGAATTCTTTTTAGGAAATCTTTGCCATGCTAAGTTTTTGATTGCCTTGGTGATTGTGTGAGCATTCATTCAAGTCTTTCTTGGTGTAAAGTTGTTAGCTCATGCCTATATACAATGCTATTGCCCACTGTTCCTCTCCACATGTACAAAGAATAACTGCAACATCACCTTCTTCAAGTATTTCCTTTGAAATCTACATATTGATTCAGCCTTGAATTGAGTTTGCTTTTGCCATGAGTTCTTTTCTTTTCTTTTCTTTTCTTTTTTGAGACGGAATCTTGCTCTGTCCCCCATGCTGGAGTGCAATGGTATGATCTCGGCTCACTGCAACCTCCGCCTCCTGGGTTCAAGCAATTCTCTTGCCTCAGTCTCCCAAGTAGCTGGGATTACAGGCATGTGCCCCCATGCCTGGCTAATTTTTGTATTTTTAGCAGAGCCAGGGTTTCACCATGTTGTCCAGGCTGGTCTTGAACTCCTGACCTCATTATCTGCCTGCCTTGGCCTCCCAAAGTGCTGGGATTGCAGGTGTGAGCTAAGGATGGGCATATAAAGCTGAGAGAATTGCAAGAAGTAATGTTTATTTATGCACTACATGCTTTGCTTTGATGCTTGTACCATAGCTACATCCCAGGATCTTTTCTACTGTAAGCTCCATGGAGGCTATACCCTCAGTATGTGGGTACCACATTGCCTTACACGTAGGAAGTGCTCAATAAAGACTTCCCTTATCAAAGGTGCCCCTTTTTGCACCCCGCCCCCCCACCATTTCCTCATGTTTGTATCTTCTTCCTTGTGCAGTGGTTGCTATATCAGGTGCCTATCTAGTGGATCCTCCTCTCTGCTCACCCTATAGACATGCCTGTCCTGTGTCTAGTTACCTGTGTAAGATGTGTAATTGTTATAATTGCATCCACACTGGTAAATGAGTAGGTGCTAATAGCTCTCTGTGGGGCCCCAGAATCTTTTCTACCAACATTTACAGTATGGCAGACGAAGGGGAAGCCAAAGATGACAACTACCAGAGTGACGTCTCTGAGTTTTTTTTCATGATTTATTGCATGAATTCATTGAAATGCTGAGTTCTGTTTCATAATAGGGGTGTGTGTGTGTGTGTGAGTGCGCGCGCGCGCGTGCTTGCATGCGTGCATGTATCTTCGTTGTACAATACAGGCATACTTTGGAGATAGTTTTGTTTTAGACCACCA